GAGCCAACCCGTGTGCAACGTACACATACGTGTCATCTGAACGTGTTGTTCCGTATGACGTGATATAACGTGCCACCAGCATAGCAGGCTTTTATTGTGATTGGCCAATTTTTTTAAATCATCTTGTGATATAGCAAAAATTTTATTGGTTAATCGAAATTAATCGAAATTAATCGAAATTCTTCATCATGAATAAAAACTCATATATATATATAAATAACTATATTTGTAACGAAATTAATACCAACATAGGTCTTTACTATGAAATCTCAATAGCCTTAAATCTAAATCTAAAATCTTATTACAGATAAAATTCTGACAAGCCAAAATTTTATTAAAGAAATAACCCTAACATACTACGAATCAAAAAAAAAGAAAAAAAGCTCCAAAAAATAAACCAAAAACAAAAAAATATACATAGAAATAAATATTTAAACCTATTATGGAACATTAATGGCTAATATAAAAAAAAATTCAGAAGTATTCGCTCTAATATCAAACTAATTAATTTTATTTAATAATCGTTATATAGCTACAGTACTCATTACTTCTGCTTTAACTATTATCACGATGTCTATGAACCTTATCTGTTATAACTCTCAACTTCATATTATTGGTCTATATTATAGTCAGGTTTTTATATTAGTTTGGATTATGAAAAATAAGTTTTCAAAACTAAAAAGACAACTTAAATTGCTGAGTTTCATTAACTTATTGTACCTATAAGTATAGATGGGTGCCTAAATTATTTTTGGCTTGCTGAAAATAAAAATTGCCAAAAATATTTTAGGCAGCCTAAACTGTAAATAATTTCGGATATCGAAAATATTTTCAGTTGCTGAAATTATTTTGGATACCGAAAATATTTTTGGCACCCGAAATTATTTTCAGATGCTAAAATTCTTTCAGATACCGAAAATATTTTCGGCTGCCGAAAATATTTTGGATGCTGAAAATATTTTCGGATGCCAAAATTATTTCAGATGCTGAAATTATTTCAGATGCCGAAAATATTTCAGATATTGAAAATAATTTTGGGTGCCGAAATTATTTTTATATACTGAAAGTTATAGGAAGACATTCATCTAATTGGCTAAGTTTTTTAGATCTACCTGTGATAATTAGCCAATTAATCGAACAAATTCATAATACATACAAAACTTTATAATATTTGCGACAATTTTTTATTAGTAAAATGTTATGTTTTCAAAAAGTACTCAAAGTAAAAATAAATAAGCTACCCAGACAATTGAATTATATCAGAATCAGACAAAAGTCCTCCTATAATACCAAAAGCGTTATCTTTAATTATTATATTATTTACTTCATACCTACCTATTATTATTATTTATTTTTTTGTAGCAACCCTGACTTATTCTTTTGCTTATTTTTTTTTAATTCTATGGAGTATATCTTGTTTGCTACCAAAGATAGTAACCAATTTTTTTATACTGATATTTTTAAATTTTAGACAGCTCAGTACTATTCTAACATATTAAGGCCGCATGTAATGGATTATATATAACCGATATAGATTACTTAATTCTAGCTTTTTTCACTTAACTGCACCTATAACCATACTTTTTAATATTTCAGTTTGAAACAAATACTCAAAAAAAAAATCTTACTTCCAGATTATAATGACTTTGAATATTAAAAATATTTTTGAATATCAAATAGAGTTAGAATTTTATTGAAGCATAATAAAGCATAAAAGATAAGTTTATTTATAAATATATTGTAAATAAAAATTTTCTATATAACAATGAAAATAATGTTAAATAAAAAAAAACTCATATTTTATATTGTTCATAGCTGCATTGACAACTTCATTTATATCATAATCAGGTTCATCCTCAAATTCTACAACATTATCATAATTTGTTTCATTTATCTGTTCTCCTGCAAAAATATTCAAATCTATCATTTCTTTAACTTCCAAATTTTCACAATTAAATTGTATAATTTCATCTAAATTATCATTGTCAGAAATATAATTAGCATCAAAATCTTCAATATTATCATTAAACATATCATTATCGTATTCAATTGAATTTGAATAATTTTCTATCATTTGCTCAAATTCTGCTTCTGAAATATTATTTACAATATAGTTTAGTTCACCTTGAGCATTGGTCATATAATATGTATGTAATTTGGTGATATTTGATACTTTGTCTACAGTTAATCTATAAAAATAATATAGTAAATATATATTAATAAAAAATATATATACTAATTAATTTAATTACCTGCTTCTTTTTTTTTGAGTAATCCAACTTAAAACTGAAAATATACGTTCACAACTTGCACTTGAGGTGTAATTGCCAATAGGTATAAAGCAAGTTTTTGTAAATGATAATTATCTAGTTTACATCCAAGCCACCAGGTTTGTAGTGATTTAATTCCTTCTACAAAGGTAAAATTATATAGTGCTTCATATGTATCATACTTTTTAATTTGTGCTATTAATATATTTGCACTTGTTACACTTTTTTTACTAATTTTTTTCCATATTTCAAGAGCAATTAATAAAATTTTATAAAAAATTGAAGTTTTTATACCCTTTCCTTGATATTTTAGATAAAGAAAATAAGCTAAAAGATAAATTTTTATATCAAACTCTTTCTATCGTTTGTTGTAAAATTGAATGCATTGTTTACGAAATTTTATATATTGTAATGAACTATTTATCTCAAGTATATTAATTGCAGTTGCCATCTGAATAAGAAATAAAAAAATATTAGCAGTAGTTGTAGATTTAGATTCAACCATTTTAACAGCATTTTTAGCAGGTAATAATATTTTTGCTAAAATTTCTGCATTTGTTCAAAATTGTCGATTTCGTGCAAGATTTCTTAACTCAAGTGTTAATGCATAATTATCATCCTCTAAAATCTAATTATAAATTTTAATACATAATAAATTATAAAATATATATATATAGTAATATTAACCAAAACTCTTTCCGACGATCCCTCATACCAAAATTACAACAAACCTTTTTTCCAAAAAACAGTAAACTATGGAAGCAAA